TATATATATATATATATATATATATATATATAAGCCTACAATTGGTGATTCAAATTGAGAAGTGTAAATAAGCTTCTTGAAAATTAGCATTAGCAACACTTAAGGTCATCAAATTTTTTTCTTAACAATAACAAAGAACTACAGTATAACATCATGCTGGATGTAGCTTGCTACCAGAACATAAAGTATTTACATCTGTTCTAGAGTTAAAAATTACTCTGAGTGTCTCTTCTTCTTGTTCCCAGAACAGGATTACTGCTCAGCTGTCAGAAAGAGCATGTCATATCTAAAAATAAGCCCTAGAATGCAGGGTTTAGGTCAGAGAGAACAGAAGCTGGAAATTGTTTCCTCTAGTGACTTGATTTACTTTAACCAAATCCCTCTCCTACTGTAAGAGCAGATTGTCGCGGCAGGGTCACGCAGCATCTGTCACAAGATATGATAACTTCTTTACATTTGAAGGTTTCACAGCAGCAGCAACCATTTTGTTGTCCTAATAAAACATCCAGTATGCTATTACACTTATGTGACTTTTCTAGTTTGTTGACTTCATTAACAGTGTAATTTGTTACATTGAAGTTTCTTTTTTCTAGTTTTTTTTTCCCTTTTCAATTGTTAATAGTCATTAGTTGTTAATAAGTTGTTACATTCATGCAGATTTTGGCACAATTTCTGTCTTAAGTCACTTAAATAACATGATGCTGTCATTTTTGGACATCTCTGGTGTTGCTGCTATTTTCACATATCCTTTACTGTAAAGATGTCAACAGCTGTATATTGGTTATTTGTTTTTCAGATGCACAGTATTTATATTGTAAAAAAAACACTGTACAATACAGTATTTTATTTATCTTTTAACCCTGTCACTCATTCTGTTATTTTTATGCACCTTTTAAGGTCCACATATGTGTAACTACTTTTGATGTAATCTTTTGCTGTTGTAACACCACAATCTCCTCATTGTGGGACAATAAAGGGATTTTCTATTCTTCTATTCTATTCAAATAGATTTCAAAAGCAGACAAAGACAACTTGAAAAGATAAAAAATAAGCTGCATGCAAAAGATTAATACTGATGTTATTCAAAATACCACCATACCCTGATCTTGAGAAAATCACCAAAGGATGAGGTAGGAAAATAATTTGGAAAGGATTGCAAAACCATTTATTTGCCTTTGGGATGCCAGGGTACCATAGAGAGACATTAACCACAAATGAAGTCAGCCCTGTTTTTTTCTTTCAGTATTATTTTTATTACTGTTGCTTTTATAATTTTATACTGAATTTGTTTGCATGTTGTAATGAAGGCATAAGACACTTGGCAGTGACCGTGAACTCAATCTTTCAATATACTGAGCCACAGTAAACATTTTTGTAGGTGTTGCCCATCCTCCAAAATGACTTAAATTGTTCGCCAGCTGTTGCGCCTCCTCTCTGTAGTCTTGGTCGTTGTCGTCTCCGATGAGGCCCACCACTGTGGTGTCGTCTGCGAACTTCACGATGTGGTTGGTGGTAAACCTGGGGACGTAATAGTGTCTCATCAGAGTAAACAGCAGGGGGCTCAGCACGCAGCCCTGGGGGGAGCCTGTGCTTAGGATGACGACATCAGAGATGTTCTGCTCGACCAGGACTGACTGAGGTCTGTTTGTGAGGAGGTCTAGCAGTCAATTGCAGAGGGTTGTATTTTTTTCCAGCAGTTGTAGTTTCCCTATCAGATGCCGTGGGATGATGGTGTTGAAGAACAGCATCCATACTTGGCTGTGCCTCCCAGTGTGCTAGGCTCAGGCAAAGAGCAGAGGAGATGGCCTCCTCAGTGGAGCTTTTCCGTCAGTAGGCAAACTGGGACAGGTCGAATGTTGGGGGGAAACTGGAGAAAAGTTGTTCTTTAACCAGCCTTTCGAAGCACTTCATCATGATGGGAGTCAGTACGACAGGCCGGTAATCCTTGAGTGAGGTGACCTGAGGCTTCTTTGGGACTGGAATAATGGTGGCAGACTTAAAGCATGCCGGCACTATGGATTGATCCAGCAAGGTGTTAAAAATGTCTGTGAGGACACCAGCCAGCTGACCTGCATACTCCATGTACACCTGCCCAGGTATGTTAAGAAACCTAAGGCCTTTCTTGGGTTGACTCTCCTCAGTCTTCCACACATCAGCTATGTGAAGGCAGAGTGCCTCCCCTCGATGATGTGGAACAGGTCTCACTGCTGGAGTGCAGTTTAGTGCCTAAAACCTTCCAAAGAAGTTGTTTAGTCCATTCAGGAAGTGAGCATCAGCTTCACTCACCGGGGAGGAGGGTGTGATGTAGTCTGTGATCGCCTGTGTACTTTGCCACTTCCTCCTGGTGTTGCTGGTGTCGTGGGAGATATACTGGATCTTCTTGTTGTGGTTCTGCTTCGCTGATCTGATGGCATGGTTCAAAGCTGCATGACTGATTTGTAACCTGCTCAGCACCTCTCATTATGTGTCCTTTACCTTTACCAATATTAACAGCAAATAACCCTTTTAGTAATCTGTGCAAAATTAATTTAGTTTCAGCAAGCCATTTCATCAATTAAAGATTTCCTCTCCCCGTATCAGTAACATTTATCTCACCAGGCACCAAACTAACAAGTTTCAACAGATTTTATGGTTCTCAGACATCTTGATGAATTTAGCAAAGGTAGAAAAGGTTTGTGATCCACTAGGGTAGAACAGGATTAATTAATATAGGGGAAGAGCTGATTTTTTTTATTTATTTTGGCAATGCCTGACAAGAGAGAGTGATATTCCTTTTAATTTGTGTTAAAAAGAACGAAAAATTCCTATCTTATGTTTTTCCATGATAGGATGGGATTTTTTACCATTCTGCTGACATGTTTTAGTTTTAAATAAATTTTGTACTAGCCAATTTAAAATGTTTCATTCAAAGCAATTATTAAGTCAAGAACTGCCTCAAACACACTGATATAAATAGATTCTGTGTTCTATCCCCTCAAGGCTTAACATCTGTGAGCCAAAGCATATTAAGAAGACTGGCACACAGCCAGTGGGATCACAAGTTAAAGCTGTGCTTCTTAGCACCTGGAAGCATATGAATCTAAGCATGATTTATTTGCATAGTCATTCAATGAGTTTATGTATTCTTTGGAATACTAACAACCATTTGGGGTCTATTGTTTTACTCTACAGGCCATCAAGGAAAAGAAAAGTATTTGTTCGAATAGTTAAGTTTCATTCAGTACTGCTGCAAGCTTTGCATTTGTGAAAAATGTTGTGATATAATTAGGCTCTGGGGAGTGTCAATCAAAAGGTAGATGAGAAAGCACACCTTTCTGGTGATGGGATGAGACTATCGAAATGNCATAAAATACAGGAAAAAAATCCTTTTTTATCTGGAAGCATGTTTAAAACCATACATATGGATGAACCACATATACAAAGGAGATATGGGATGCAACATAATATGAAAATATTTGCACCGAAAAGAAACTATACACATGTGGGATGATTACCAGTGGGCTCGGTCTGTTTTTCTTTAAACGGTGAAAGTACAACAAGCACAGAGATGGAGCTCAGCAAATTCAACATGAAAACCCCAAAACAAGACAAAAAGTAATTAAGGGCCATAAACAAGTATAGCAAATGTAAACATTTCTTTGTAAATAGCAGCGTTCCCACTCTGGCTTCTCTTTTACAGTACCTGGAATAAATAACCTTCAGTGAATACCCTCTAATAATTTAAACTTTAATAAATTTAGCATACATCATATGCAGAGTAATACAAATCAGCAAGAATATAACAACTCATTAGATATTACATTTTTGTTTAGTGGTTTAGTGTTTGCATTTTTGCCACAATAGATATGCGCAAGTACATGTTCATACATAAGAAAAAATCTGTTTAGCTCATTAATCCCATAAAAAGTTACATTATATACTATAGATTGATTTTATATATTTCATATTTTCTTGATTACTCAAACTACAGTCGGGAAAAACATTGATTTTTTTTTATATAAAACCAAACAATAGATAAATTTCTTTCCAGGAGGGACTTCATCCACAAAGAGTAATTAAAATTGAAAAGGGAAATGAATTTAAGAATTGAGTTTACATTTACAAGTTTTCTGCTATTGATGGATTCAATGCTAAAAAAAATCTACCACCAGTAGATGTATGCAGGACGTGGAGTGAAATGTCCTGCATAACATGAATTAAGCAAATCCTAAACCGGAAACCTGAGAAGCATACTACCCCAGGCCAGAAGAAAAAAAATATGAGGAGTGGCACTGTGATATAAATTCCTCTTTTTAGAGAAAATGTGCAGACTTTACATTTGAAATTTCTTTTTGATTAATTTCATAAAATTAAAAAATAAATATAGTGTCATTTGTTTCATGGAAATGAACAGAGACATTGAGATAAACGGAAACATGACAAACAATGTTTCTTCATGGCTCGACAACACAGGTAGACATATTTTAATCATCATATTAATACCCATTAAATAAGACCTATACTACACCAGCTTGATAAAAGATCAACTAACCATCAACCACTCAGCCATCAACATCCAGTCATTTTGACCTATGCACATACAAAGGATTGTTGGAAAAATAAACATGTGACTGATTTTATGGGGTAGAAGCACATAATGACCAGCAAGCAGAACTACAGCGGCGTAGTAGTAAAAATTGATGCTCTATTTTCTCCATTTTCAAATAGCCAAAAATCATGAAATGAAAATATGTTTGAAGGGACTGAGACAGAATGATTTTTTTTTTTTTTTTTCCACAAGAAAGATGTTGCTGTCATTGCACAATATGCTCAAATTATTATCCCTACCCTTAATTTACTGAAATACTATATAAAGACTTTGGTAATACAACCATAAGAATCTCAGCTGTTTTTCTATTGTTTTGGCTTTTCGTTGTTTCCCCATTTCTACCGTGACACACATCTTAAAACTAACCAATAATGAAAACATGTTTCTAATTTGCTTCTTTTAGGGAGATTCTGCAAGAAACGATGGCTGCTGATGAGGAATATCACAGAGAGAAGTGGATTTGGTTTGGAAATGAAGCTGAGAGGACTGAGATAGATGTGATCAGAAACCAGCAAATGTTGCGCAGTCGTGTTGACAAAGTGGCCCTTCGCAGACAGGTATAAATATATATATATATATATATGCTTGAAAATAAAAATGAATAGATGTGGACACTTTCTTGCAAATGTAATCCCTTGAACTTTCAGATTTTACATGTATTCCACTATATTTCATTTGCTGCATGAAAGACTAATACTGGGCAGTGCTAAATTGGAAAGAAGAAAAACATGAAATTATTTTCAAAGTTGTTTTTTTTTTTTTTTTTCCCAAAAAAAAAAAACAAACTGCAAACTTTGGCCTAAAATATCCACCTCCCCTGAGTCAATACTTTGTTTTAGGGTAAATAGGATGTTAGAGGTAAACTGTAGAGCAGTGTTATATTTCTGTCACATTTGCCATTTTGGGGCAAACTTAATCGATTCATTTTAAAAGGCACTTTAATTATTAGCCCCTATGTGTTCTTCATATGAAGAAAGAAAAAGACCTTAAAATTACATTATTCAATAACATTTCAAAGAATTTCTGTCAAATNATATATATATATATATATATATATATATACACTTGAAAATAAAAATAAATAGATGTGGACACTTTCTTGCAAATGTAATCCCTTGAACTTTCAGATTTTACATGTATTCCACTATATTTCATTTGAATACTGCATGAAAGACTAATACTGGGTAGTGCTAAATTGGAAAGAAGAAAAACATGAAATTATTTTACAGTTTTTTTTTGTTTTTTTTCAAAAAAAATACAAACTGGAAAGTTTGGCATAAAATATCCACCACCCCTGAGTCAATACTTTGTAGAACAACCTTTTGGTGCAGTTACGGCTTCACCAACTTTGCACATTTAGAGAGAAATCTTTGACGTTTTTTTTTTTTTTAAAGATTAGTCAAGAGCAGAAGGATTGAATAAAAAACAGAACAACACTTGCGAAAGGTTAGATTTAGGTCTGCATAAACAACCATTTGATTTTTTTTACCATTACATTAAATCTGACTAGCTTCATCATCTTAGCTGACGAAAAGCACTCCTACAACATGATTCTACCACAGCTTTGCTTCAGAGGGTAAATAGGAAGTTAGAGGTATACTGTAGAGCAGTGTTATATTTCTGTCACATTTACCATTTTGGGGCAAACTTAATCGATTCATTTTAAAAAGCACTTTAATTATTAGCCCCTACTGTATGTGTTCTTCATATGAAGAAAGAAAAATACCTTAAAATTACATTATTCAATAACATTTCAAAGAATTTCTGTCAAATGGGAACAACAGATATTTTTAAAAATTTTTGTCTCAAATCTTGTATTTGTGTGGGTTTTTTTTTTTTTTTATTTGTCAATTATCTACATTTCAGGCAGAAAAGAAGAAATCTGCCCACATCAAGTACTTGGAGAAGCTGAGTCAGAAAGCTCCAGACTTTTCTGTCCCTCTGAGAGCTCACACAGTCTGGGAGGGAATGACAGTGATGCTCTCCTGCGGAGTCCAGGGCTGTCCACCCCCAAAGGTTGAGTGGTATGAATGATCATCCATCTTTCCTGCACCTCACTCTTACATTATCTTTTGAGTGTTTTTTTTTTCTTTATTAATGATGAAAAGTGTAAGTTGTTTTAGTTTATATGTAAACTAGAGCCGTGTGTAGCAGCTACTGGCAAACTATAAATCAGAATCAACTGGCCAAGTTTGTGCACCAAGGGTTTTTTACCTTAATTTGATTTGCTCTCAATGTGCATACATTTTGAATAAAGATATAGAAGCTGGGTGGGAAACAAAAAGGGATTTTAATGCAAATATGTACAATGTGTGTATTTTTAAATCATGCAATATTCTTTAGTGAATAAAATACATAACTTTCCTTCCAAAAAATAAAAAAGCAAATAAAATGCGGTTACTTCTATGCAATGCAGTAATAAGTGATACAGCACTGCAGGGTTTGTAACTATTAGAGACATACATTTATAAAAGGTGCAAAAAAATATGAGAACAAAATCGATTAAAAGACCATTAGTGTGCTAAAGAAAAGTCAAGATACTTTTCTTCAGAGCTGTGAGGTCCCCAAGCTGAATATTGCACTCTGTATTAATACAAAATTAGCTCTGCAAATTCAGGAAGTTCGCCAAACTGTTGACCCTGAGACCTGAGTTGCGATGAGACTAGCTGATGAAAGGGCTGAGGATACTCAGTATTCATGAACATTGAGATCAAGATAACCTGTGGCTCATGAGTTTGACCAACGCATCTGGGACCCATCAAGCCCAATGAGCTGCAAAGGTCTGCGCTCAACAAAACTCAGCACATGAGAGAATAAAAGATCAAAGGCTTCCCTAGTGCTCTGTACATTTATTCAAACTCTGCCTTGATTTAGAAGGATGGAGAAACACCTGGTCTGTAAAGAGGAGCATGCAGCATTAAAACTTAGCTTTTGTTTTCAATGAAGCCTATTTTCTCTTTTTTTAGGTTTAAAGATGGTAAACCACTGATAACATCTCTCCTACCATGGAATTACAGCCTCCAAGAAAAATTTGGCCTCAGTCTACTAGAGATCAGAAGGTAGGTCCAAGGTTAAAAGATTTATTAGTGCTCAGTCCTTTGCACACAAGGCTGAAAATATTATTGAAAGATTTGCTGCTGAACTTGAAAAAGCAGAACCAATATATCCCATTTCCCCTCCTCAGATTCTCTTCTTATTTATATGATCCACATGGGGATTTTTGTAATTATTTAACATTTATTATGAATTTTTTTTTGACTGTATTCTTTATTATCTAAAAAGGTGCTCTCCTGAAGATGCTGGCGAGTACAAAGTAGTTGCCAAGAGCTCCCTGGGTGAAGCTTCGACATTTGGAACCTTAGTGGTAAACTGTGAGTGAGCCTATCTTTCACATAGACATGCAAGTTTCATCTCTCTGCAAACTATTATGAAAAACAAGATGGATACTGAGATAATGAATAGATCAGTGTCAGGCTTCATTTTGGTAAGGAGATACTGAAAGACTGGTATTCCAAATATCAGACAAAGAAATTCTCAAATGTGAAATACCATAAAAACTCCCCAGAAATAGCCTTTGCACAGACATGTTGCTGATCTAATAAAATATATTCGCTGATGAATATCAAAATCTTACAAGCCACAAATATAACTCTAAAATAATACACTTTCTGTGTGTGGAGATTGGGTAATTAATTGGCAACATTGCCCCCTAGTGTCTGTGTTGCAAAATATTCACAAACCAACAAAAGTGCATCTCATTAAATTTGAATATCTGAATAAATTTGTCTTTACAGATAGTGGGAGATGTATATTTCAACTTTTTTTTGTATTACTTTTTAACATATTTTATAAAATGATTATATAGTATTATATCTTATGACCCACATGTAATGAAAACTTCCAATTCAGTTTAACAAAAAATTAAGAATTGCATGAGACCAAAACAAAATGATTTGCAAAATAGAAACTGTACTTGATTGCTGCATTATGGTAAACATAACCATGAGGAATCCTTTGGATTTGACTTTTGCCCAGCAGTAACTGATGCTCTGCATAAAAGGGTTAAACTAAAAGTATCCATTTAAGAAGCTGAAGAAGCTTTTCGCAGACAAGTGTCTCAAAGCAACGTAATGGATGAAAAAGTTATGGTAGAAAAAAGCAGCAGGAATAACAACTGCAATGAGAAGATTTATAAGGAAATTCCATTTAACTTATTTGGGGAAATTTACAAGATTATAGTTGGTGCTTTAAAAGCCACGACACTTTTTTTTACACACAAGCTGTTTACATAATTTGTGTAAAGTCTCTTAAATCAATAAAGACATCAAATAAATTCATAGATTGTACACCACAGTGAATAAACTAATCAGAAATCATTTGTATAGTAATCATCTGCATTTTTATATCAAAATAATTTTTTGCAAGTTTCTGAATTATGAGCCACATTGCATTTGGTTTGGCTTTATTGACTGAACTGTAATAATCAAAATGAAAAAAAAATAAAATAAAATAAAAGACCTAGTTCTGTTTAAAAAATTATTTCACTTTTTGAATTGGCATTCTAAATTATATCAGTTTGTTTTGCCTTTAAATACATTGTGACGCATCCAAATCATTGGCTGATGAACTAACTATTTAAACTTGACAAACGAGCTGTGAACACAAGTTTTACTCGGACAGACTGCCTAATCAAGCTTTTAGTCTACCGTAAGTATTTGTTACAAGCGATTCCAGGTGGGGGAAATAAGAAGCTTAGTGCTAGAATGAAGAGTGAGGATGCTTAGCTCTTATTGAAAACATTCAAACCATAAGAGACAGAAAGGTGCTTAAAGTGTTTTAAAAACAACAGAGAAAGTAAAACAAAAAAGAAAAAGAAAAAACCCTTATACATGAGTGCAGCTTAAAATTATATCAGGGCATAAGCCATTATCCAAAAGATAACAAGAAACACTTCAGAGCCTGAATGAGAGACGAAAATAAGCTCAACATTTTCTATATAAAATAAAACTATCTCAATGTATATTGAGTGAACTTTCACTTATAGCCACAAAAATGGCAAAGAAAAGTCAGAAAAAAGGGCAAACATTTCAGCTGCAATTAAAGGATTTACTCACCAATGACTTAAGCACACAGTTGTGTGATATGCACTCCTACTGCAGAGCAGCAGCCTGTCAAAGGGTTAAGATACCAATTTACAGGGAAATTTCCAACTAACTAAATACAATTAAGCAAAAAAGTACATTTTAGAGCTGAAAATGTAATTGAACCATCAGTGATGAGTAAATTAGTTTCTCACCTTAAGAGTCTGATCCACGATACGGTACTTATATAAATGCAGCTTTACATTTTGGTTTCATATTTTCACACTGGGGTCACAGAATGTCTCTGTGAAGATTTCAGTTGAAAATTAATCGAAACAAAAGCACAGTGCTAGAAAAAATTTATGAAAATTAAGGTTACAGGTGAAAGTAATCTAGCCGTGATTAGTCCCTCCACCAACGTTATGTGTATTTTAAAAAAGGCCTGGCCTAATTTTATTTGTTTTTGAATTTAAAATTTATTTTTGTATCAGTTTGAAAAAAAAAAAAAGGTAAGAACACATTTCTTTTCACCTTTCAACAACTTGGACAAGAAAACTGAGCAATGCCTACTATAATATGTGCTTTATCTCTCTTAACAAATGTCTACTTTAAATAAAACAATCTGTAAATCTTGGTTTCTATCTCATGATGAATATGTGTGACTAAATTTCCCAAATTGCCTGGTGAAGTGATTTTACCTTACTCTAACAACTGGTTGTGTTGTGACATCAATCAAGCCTTTCTGATAATTGATTCTTTTATAATGCTGTCTTATTGTTGAGTCATTACAATCAAGCATTCATGAGCCAAGTTAGCTAATTGTTATGGCAGTGACTGTAGATGTTATTTTTGCCCTCTTTCCAGATACTGCAAACTGTAGTTCCTGTTCCTTTACCATTTATGGGTTCAACAGTAGGGGCACTATAGAAAAAAGCAACTGCTGTGTCAAATCCGCCACAGTAGTGTGTAGAACAGTTTTACAGGAGTCCTCATACAGCAGTAACATTAATGGATGATGCTTGTCAAATTGGAACAACAGCCTCCCAAAAAACAGTAAAAAAAAATACAGTTACAAAAAAGGTAATAAGTCCCTGAAGCCCTTCGTTATAGGACCCAAAACATGAATGTGCGCACATTAGCATGTTTTACAAAGAGAACACATGAAGGAATAATGCACATTTCTTGGATTCTGTAAGGATGTCTGTGCCTATTTATTCTATCCTGCAATGGACGCATAGATCCTTAAATCGAACTGTGATAGGAAGCATCCTGCTTCCTTTTCTTACCTCCTTTCTTGGGAAGCATCCTGAATCCTTTTCCTACCTCATTCCTTAGGAAGAATCCTGCATCCTTTTCCTACCTGTGAGGTAGTTTGGTCGAGGGTCAATAAGGTGAACCAAAAAAAAAAACAGCTTCAGACACCAGTTCCAGTTTCTCTGTTGTCTTTTATTCCTTTTCTCTCTGACAAAACATTTTTACCTCGAGCTTCCAAGAGCTCAGGACTTATATAATTAAGTGGCAACACACCTGAACTTGAGTGGACCAAGCCTCAATTAAACAGGTAAAAAAAAAAAAAAAAGTCTAAACAGAGAAACAAGAATAAACTTAATCTAATTTACAAACTCATCTACATAAAGAAAGAGTCTGCAAAATAAACAGTGTGAAACAAGATAACTCAAAAGGTTACTTTAAAGAAAAACAAACAAAGCATAACTCAAAAGGAAACCCTCTAAATGGTAGAACCCAGCAAAGTAATGGATGACATCATTTAGTCAATTTAGTAGGAAATACTTAAACAATGGTGAGTAAAAAAGAAAACAAATGCCATGAATATACTTTGAAACATAATAAACAATTTCATCCAATAATCCTGAAGTAATAGCTTTAACCTAAACATAAGTAGATGGAAACTGCAACATAATGCTAGCACAAACAAACATAGTAAGTGAAAGTCAAAGTTGCAAACTAATGTTTAAATTTAAGCATTACAAAGATTCAGAAGAAAGAATAAGGGACAAGTGGTAAACACAAACTAAACCACTTTGTCACACTACCTTTATCTTTACTGCTGGCACTATTAGGACAGCACCTATCATGATGCCTGCGGATCCACCTTTCTTTGGTACCATTGGGCCTTCCTGGAGTAGCTCCTGATTAGCTCTAAGTGTGATTTTGGTAATCTGGCTACTCTGGGAAAGATCAACTTGTTTCTTTTTTTCTTTATTTGTATAAGGGCTCTTGTTTTTAGGTGGTCTTAAAGCTTTAAAATTACTTCTTGGTCCAATCCAGATAAATGAATAGATCCAATTTTCATGATTTTGTTAATTTTGGGCCATGCACTGCGCTTGGATCTACATCCCTAATTTGTCTCTCAGGCGTGCTCTATTAATGAACCTTTTTAAAGTCAGGAGTGTAAAATCAGTTTTTAACCTTTTAACTGTACTAAAATATCAAGGGAAACATTTATATTTCAAACTATTTTTGGGCTGGGTTTTTTAAATGTTTGTGATAAATGAAATCTACATTATTATAAAAGAGTTTTGTGCTCACCTGTTACGTATATCACTGCCTGATTCAAACACTGAAATCACATTTATTTCATGATTCCAAATATTTATGTGTGACGAAAAAGAAAATTAAAAAGAAAAAGAAAATTAAGAAATCTTAAAGAGGCTAATACTTTTTCACAGCATTGTGATTGTGAGGAAATATAGAATAATAAATTCCTAAAGATGTGTTCTCTAGTAATATCTATTTTACAGAATGTTTTCATGTATTAGAAGGGCTACAGTATGCTACGAGCATATTCAATGTGGTTTCCAAATGCGGCTCTGCCAACTTTGATTTGAGTCCTTATTTTGTTACTTTTCCTTAATTTCTTTTCTCCATGTTTTTGTCTCCATCTCTGAGCCTTCCCTCTTCCCTCTAATCTGTTCTGCTCTGCTTCTTCGCGATGCAGCATGTCAAGGAGCCACGGCTGGTTCAGAGCACTCGCAGACCACCGGTAAGTTTCAAACCAAGGCCTAATAAAAAGTGTCCCCTTTAATTTTCTCTGCTGCACTTTGAAGTTCCTCCTTTTCCTCCAGTGAAGGAGGGAGGTCTGGGTGGCTTTGAAGACTGTGGCATGAAACTCTGCAGTATTGTGTATGCAGTACATCCTCAAGGAAGATAACAGGGGATTGAAGGGGAGCAGTGCATCAGTGCTGTTTGTTTATCATGGGATTTATGTTTCTCCGTGGGTGTTTGTGGATGTAAGGGTGTTAATTAGATATGAGTCGGTTGCTGCAGGGATAAAATGACTTGCTCATATCTGAGCAGAAATGACAGTCATGTATATTTCATCTCAGCAGCAGCAGGAGATTTATCCCATTTTGCTACAAGCTGTGGTACTCTTTGACCTATATAGCCCTAACCATCTGTGAGGATTAGAAATCTTTGGCCAAAATGTGCAGTTCAACCATTCATATTGCTGTATGGGAAATGATTACCAGGTGGCTCAGTTATTTGCAGAAAACATAAACATCAGTTGTTCACATTGTTTGTATGACTGATTGTGAATGCATAAATTATAAGAACACAAAAAAATATATCAGAACGAAACCCCTCAGGATTTAGGTTGTATTGGTACTTTATTTTATGACTGTAACACAGAATCTGAAGATTTCTGTGCCCACCAAGAAGAAAATTGGAAGAAATAAAAATACATTGTTACTTCCTGAGCTAACTTCAAATTTCAAGGAAGATTTAACCCATTTTTAGCACCCAACCTAAGTCTCTGCAGTCCATAACTTTTACTTTTACTTTTTATCATTAATGTGGTAAACACTGTGATAAATACTCCCCATTATGTTAAATTATTCAAATTCTACATCCAAAAACTGTTTTTATTTGCTGTAGTATCTAAAAGTGTATTTACCCTTGATTTGAGTAGGTAAATGAGATAGTTTGCCAATGGAATCAGTATTGTTACTCTTAAAATAAGATAATTAGATAGTATTCACTTGAAATAAGAGAATGCAATTCTGTTTTCTTATTTTAAATCTAAACTGTCTTGTTCCATTGGCAAGATGTCTCTTTTATCTCCTCAATTCAAGAACAAATGCACTTATTTTAAGAAAAAATGACTTATCAAGATTTAGATTTTTTGCAGTGAAGGACTGAGGCCTCTAAACACGGGTCTCTGTACATCAATTTTTTCCTGCTAGAAGATAGATCTTTGCCACATCTCAAGTATTTTGTAAATTATAACAAGTTTTCTTGCAGAATTGTTCTATATTTAGCTAAATCAATATCCGCATTAGTTTTGGCCAGCTTCCCTGTCCCTGCTTTAGAGAAGCATCTCCAAAGTATAATGCTGCTGCATCCATAAAACATATGCAGTGACTGTGACTACACAGAGTCAGTTTTCTGCCATGTATTGTTTTGTCTGACCTTTCTTGTATTTTCCTTGGTATTTATGATATTGTTTGTTCACGATGTTAAACTCTGAGGCTTAATAGATAAGCTTTTTTTTTTTTTTTACCGACATTAAAAAATATAGTTGTTAAGTATGACACAAACAGGGTAAATTCATTGCACTAAATAATATTTAGAGGTTTTAAAAGGGGTTACATAATTAAAGGCCTATTTCTTAGTTTTTTGTTTTAAAGAAATTATCCTTCCATTTCCCGGTTATGTGCTGTTTACTCTTGGCTTATAGCATAAAACTTGTATGTAGCTGAAATTTTGCAAATGTGAAAAAGTTCAAGGGAAATAAATACTTTGGCAAAACATATATATGCCTTAGATAGCTCAGTAATATCTCCTGTGCACAGCACACTATTGCTCTAATAATCCTGCCGCTTTTTGGTGCTGGATTTCCAAGCCTGAAAGTGCCACAATGTATATGTGTTTATAAAGCATATATGGTATTCCAATAAGTATCTAATTTCTTCCTTTTTGATAGTGTAATATGGTTGAATTTGGCCTTTAATAGTTTAAAGGCTGTAAATTAGATTTCCAACATATTTGTGTAAACTTTGTTTTCTGTTTAGATAATCTTGAAGAGGAGACATCCCTGAAAACACATAAAAATAAATATGAACATTATGCAATCTAATGCAGTTTACACCAGCGTGTTCCCAGAAGCACTCTCTACATTCAATTTCACAGAGTCCCAAAAGAAAGAAATTAGATGGCAATCATTTTGAATGAAGTTTTATCAGCTTGTAATAGCGTCTGGAGGAGGCTTGCCATAAAGTGTGCTGTGGAATTGCACACAATCATTTTTATCTAACTGACACTTGATTATCTCACGAGAAGAAGATAATATCTCCAACATAAATCCGTCAATAAACAAAAGCGCAACTGTGGTAAATTTATCTTTGTCTTCCTAGGTTCGAGGGTTTGAATGATGAAAAGCAAAGAAGCTGTGTGTTTTAAAGGTGACTTAGCTTGGACTACTTAGCAGAAGAAGATCAATACAAGAAACATTTTGCTGTTTGTGACAGATTCTTAAACAGACAACAGGCAACCAGATTTGAAAAGTCTCTTGAAACACATGTTATTCGTGCCCAGATGTATTGAATCTGACATCAACAAAATGACTGAAAGCAGAAAGAAGATGCCCACTTTCAGAAATGTTTCACAGATGCGGCTTCCCTGCTGTTTTGTGTAGTTTTCTCACAGGAATCTTGATGTGAATGTGGTACTTTGTGTTTGTGTTCTATTCTATAAAAAGTTTATTTTTCTGCTACGGTTATTGCTATCCTCTTAAAAGTGGATTTTTTTTTTTTTTTGGTCAAAACCCTATTTTTCTTTCTCTCATACCTTTCTACTTATTATGCTGGAGTCGCTGAATGTGTTTCCATCAGCCTGCCAACAAAATTAAAAGTAGATGTCATTGCACATACTAGTTCTGGTATAAGATCTCACCCAGTGACAGAATGCACCCTCATTTAAAGTGATTCAAATGATTTAAGAACAAGTTTGGAAGAGGCTTTACTGGAAAAAATTTTAATCAAGAAAAGTCATTTTTTCATAGAATAAGTGCATTTATTCTTGAGTTTAGGAGGTAAGTGATAGTCTTTGCCAATGGAACAAGACAATTTGCATTTAAAACAAGAAAAAAAATACTGCATTGTCTTATTTTAAGTGCATATTATCAAATCATCTTATTTTAAGAGCAAAAATATCAACTACATTGGCAAAACATTTTATTTACCCTAATAAAATTAAGGGTAAATACACTTAATTTAAGAAATGTCAACTTATTTTTTGATCCTTTTTGCAGTGAATTCACCTAATATTTCATCATTTTGTTTGCCAGTTATGATTAATTTCTTTCTTTGTCCCCATCTCTTTAGTAGCTTCCTTACACTATGCCACTTTACCTTCTCCTTCCTCTTCCTCCTCTAGGCTGGCAGCAGCAAAAAGAAGCCTGCTTTGACATTTCCTTTCCGCCAACTTGGGTGAAAGAGGGCAGCAGCCTCTCCCTGCAGTGTACCTTCACATCAGCTCTGCTACCTTTCCAGCAGGATGTCAGCTGGTTCAAAGATGGTAATTGCAGTCTAATGGGAGCTACTTGTGGCACATTTTTTACAATAAAAAAAAACAAGCTGTAGCACTGACTCTTAACAATGCTGTCAACCTCCAGGCGTACAGCTGCAGCAATCCAGCAATGTGGACATCAAAACGTTTGATAACAAGGCCATCATCACCCTGACTGCTGTACACAAGGAGAATGAAGGAGTCTATAGCGCCAGACTGAAGACCAGCGATGGATACGAGGAACACGTAGCTTTTGTCTACATTAAAGGTGAACAAAGATGAATTAGGTGACCATCATAAAATTGTGTTTCCCTTAGTTCTGATTAAAAGAGGACATTTCAAGAGTATTCCGATTTTGTTGGAAACTTTTGCCTTTTTTGTCACAAAAAACACAAGAACAGACAAATATGTTTAAGAACTTTGTGTGATAACGACTCTCATACGTTCTTCCCGATTAAGAAAGTAAAACAAAAAGCAAGGCATGCTTTTTAATTCACCTCATTTTACTCTGCGACCCCCGGACAGAACCTGTCACAGGAGCCAAAAAGGCCAATGGTAATTCTGGAGGAAATACAGATGTTTTACAGATCAGGTGGACATGACAACTAATATTTAAGATTTTAATCACAGAAAAGAAAGCCAAGAAGTTGCATCAGCAGTTTGCCACAAAACATCATAAAGAGAGATTCAGCATAAGATAAACCTTAGAATCCGTATCAGAAATATAGAAAAAACATTAGGTTGAGCTTAAAAACGTTTCCACATTAATGTTTGATTTTAAAATTCTAGGTATAAACCACTGTATAAGAGAAAATCTATTAATCCTTATTTGTGATCTGTGTCTGGTACTGTATAATCAGTCTACCAGAACAGATAATGGTTGAAATAAATTATCAAAAGCCCCAAATTTAGAGGAAATTCCTCCAAACCAAATACGGCTTCTGTTTGTGATGGGATCTCCTTTTCTGCCCAGTTTGACTCTCAAAGTCACCTAAATCTCTCTGAGATTTTCACGGATTTCATGGAAACCATCCCTGATGCCTATACCATGAAGCAGGATTACTGGGTTAGTGAGACAACTTCCAGTTTAACCCTGATTTTTTTCAAAACAGGAAGCTCGATTCATTATTAGCGATGCTAGTCACCATGGTAACGTACTCTGGACGGCAAACCTGCTCCAGGGCAGGCTAGCTTTTAGGATTGATCTAAATCCTAGAAAATTCTCCACCCAGCAGCCAATCAGCTGTTCAGGAAAACAATGACACACCATTACAATAAAGACCTGATTTAATTAAGGGGGAAAATAACAACAAAAACAACATCACAGTAGAAAAACTTGAAAACCAAAAACCAGTTAAACAAAATGTGTTATTGTCAAATTAGACCGTTTTTAATCAATATATTTTTCTTCTTACTCCTTTTTGACATACTAACCTTTTACTATTTTCTATCTGTTTCCTTCTGTATAATTTCCCTATACATCCCTGGCATTTACTTGTTTCTTTATAAACGATATATAAAGATACATTTGTAAAAAAAAAAAATGAAAATAAAAATTACAGCATGGTCAGAAGATCCTTAGGATCATAATAACAATACAAGCATTACAAGTTTTTTTGGCATATATATGCCAGATTTTAGAACTGTGTGTTGGCTGTGCAGCTGTGACTGTATGGCCATGCAGATTAGGCAACAGACAGTGACAGAGGCTCTGTAAAAATACAGCATGTCTAGCTGTCCATCAAGTGTTCAGTGCCCTGATCCAGTTATGAATGAATTCATCATCTCTCCTGGTCTCTTGCCTGTACAGCATATAAATGAAGGATTTATGCCATCTCAGGTGAGTCATTACCTGGATTTCTGTGACATGTCATATTCATCGCATTGTGAAATGCTGTTAATATTTTCCTTCTTTGCTGTAATTTTATAAATGAGAAGTGTAGATGTTACGCTGAAACTACGCCGATGGGGGATTAATGGTAAACTGCCATGTTGAAAAAAAAAACAGCAAGAAGAAGTCTGTAATGTTTCTGTGAGATTTAAAATGTATCATTTAGAGCAAAAAGTCTCTATGAGACAAAAAAAAAGGAATTTTCCCAAGGTTCATATAAGTAGAAAAGACATTAAGCTTTTTCTGTACATTTATAGCAGTGTTTAGGGGTTTCAGTATTTTAAAAGTAGAGCAAATTCTTTTCCATTTCTCCCACTGAGTTCTGACAGCTCAGATGATTTCGCTCAGATTGATCACTTCTTGTCTTAATAGGATCCAGTCATGACATCATCTTCCAGCTTTATTTTAGTCCACATTATTAAATTAAAAAGTCCAAGATACCCAGATATCTTCTCCCAAGTCATTGTCACTCCTAAGGGGTATTTGAGATTGGGATGCATGGCTATGTTAAATGTCACTAGGGCTGCAACTAACGATTATTTTAAAAATCGATGAGTCGGACGATTATTTTTTCGATTAATCGATGAATCG